CTTTCCCCCTGGCAATAGTGTTTATTACAAGAGTAGAAAGCGAACTGGGGACAGCAGTGGCAGACTAAGCAATTGGGCAGAGGGATTCCAAGCCGACATAACATTCAGGCTGCGCTGCAGTTATCGCTGGCTGCGTTTAGACAGACTTCCATAGGGATGTGGAGCAAACAACCGAGTAGAAAGACTTGAAAAGTGTGTAGTCGGGCCAGAAAAGGAGCACGTTGAATACTGTGAGCTGGGTGCAGTGGCATGCCCTTTTAATGTAGCACAGCGGGAGGCACAGACCGGCCCATCTGAGGCCAGGCACAGGGCACTCGGTTTAAGGACTTTTGCAGGGCAGACCGTTTCTATTCACCACAGACAGAAGGCGTTGCCAGCCCACAGAAAGCAGCTCATCTACATGCAGCTTGGTAAACCAAGACATTTAGGGGTGACTTCCAGAAGTGTGGATGCCTCACCAAACAGCTCACCCCAGAATTGGTAATGACTCCCTGGAGCGCCCCCTACCCCACGCCGTGCAACATGCAGGCAGCCCCACCTGAAGAGTCCCAGCTCTCCCCAGCAACTGTTCGCTCCCCTAATTAGGGGAGGCATCTGCCTTGTGAGCTTTCTGATTCTTGTGTTTCATGAGTCCTTCTTTAAAAAAAAAATTATTAGCCAGGAGATGGTGATGCACGCCTTTAATCCCAGCACTTAGGAGGCAGAGGTGGATCTCTGTGAGTTCAAGGCCAGACTGGTCTATATACTGAGTTCTAGAACAGTCAGGGGTATACAGAGAGACCCTGTCTTGAAAAACAAAATTAAATATATTTATTTTATTTTTATATGTATGAGTGTTTTGCCTATATGTATGTGCACCATGTGCAAGCTTAGTGCCCAGGAAGGTCAGGAGAGGGCATTGGATCACCTGGAGCAGGAACTATGGATTGTTGTGAGTCACCATGTGGGTTCTGGGAAGTCCTCCGCAAGAGCAGCAAATGCTCTTAACCACAGAGCCATCCCTCCAGCCCCCAATTAAAAAAATATTGTGTTTTAAATTATGCGTGTTTGTGTCTGTGTGTGGTTATGAGCATCTGAGTGCAGGTGCCTGTGGAGGCCAGAGGAGGGCGGTAAGTTCCCCTTGAGCTGGGAAGTATGTCAAAAGGTGGTTGTGAGCCTTTTGACGTAGGTACTGGGAACCAGACCTGGGTTCTCTGCAAGAGCACTGCATGCTCTTAACTGCTGAGCCTTCTCTCCAGTCCCTCATGTGAGTCTCATGAGCCACCTTGCTCCCTCCACGAGTGCATGTTTCGATCCCAGGAAACAGCTACTGGTGTTTGGCTTGGCTGAGCTCTGCAGGAGTGGACCCTTAGATGCATCCCATTAAGTTCAAGTGGAGACAGTGGCAGGCTGAATAATGGCCTTCAAATGTCCACTCTACAGTCCTCAGAACCTGAGACTGTTACCAAATGTGAGCCCCAAAGAATCTGTAGTTATGTTCAATTAAAATTTGAGGGGCAAGGAAAAACATTAACCACCCAGGTGGAGCATAAGCACCATCACCAGCGGCTTTTTAATCAAGAGAGTGTCGCAAGAAGACTGACCGGTCCTGACAGATGCCATGACGTGGGCGGGGGGGGGGGGGGGCGGGAGTCAGGGGAGATGGAAATGGAAGTTTCTGGAATCTTTGAAACAGATCCTCCCCCACCCTGTCCAGTCCCTTGGGAGTGCAATCCAGTTGACATCATGATTTAATCTGGCATCAGACTTTGAAGAAAGTCTGTGTTGCTTTAAACTGGAGAGCCTGTGGGAAGCAGACTCTTGGAAGGTTTCTGATCCTGACTGAGTCTCTCCATCTGGAATGGGAGCACATAGCTACTTGTTGTCCTGTGTCCAGCTGCCTTTTACACACACTCAGAACGCCCGAGGGGAGCGTTCTTTCCCGAGAGTACCCCTAAGACTCACTCTCCCAGCCTCCGCTGTGTCTGGCACATGACTCAGACCCCAGTGAGGTACTGAGCTCTGCAGGGTACCTGCACCTAGCAGAAGGGGCCCCCGGTGGAACTCACTGGAGTCCATCTGAGAGGACAGTGAGAAAGGAAACATCAATGCGAGAAGAAACTTGAGAGCAATGACATTGCCTCCCAGCAAGATGAAAGGGTATGGACGATCAGCTCTATTTGGGGCGCTAGGGGTGGAACCTGTGGCATGCTAGGCAGGTGCTCTGCCTTTGAGCCACACCCCAACCCCTCACTGGGGGATTCTAAGCAGGGGCTCTACCATTGAGTTACACTCAAAGCTCTTTGTTTTGGACCCAAGCCAGCCTGCCCGTCCTCATTCCCTCCTAGAAGCCTGAACAACCTGCTCACCTGTCCCTCTGGCACATTTCCACCACACTCAGTCGTTCTTGCTAACTTGGAGCTGCTCCTTGTTGTCCGCACCCCAGGCCTCATTCCCACCCTTCCTCGCTGTGAGACCTTGGCTAAAGTGCAGCACCTCTCTGTCTCGGTTTTCTTTCCTGTGGAATGGCTGCTGCTGGGTTTACAGAGACTGTGTGTGTGTTGGGGGCACATCTTGACACAAGTTCTGGTTCAGGGCTCTCCAACCCCAGCCATTTTCCACTCCCCCTCCATACTTTGACTCAGTTTCCCAGTTTTACTCACTCCCAATTAGGCCAATTCTACCTCCAGGCTTTCTACCCTGACTCAGACCTCGCTGAACTTCTTCCAGCAAGGTCAAAGCTCAAATGTTTTCTTTTCTTAAAAAAGAGATTCTTGTCGGTGGTGGTGGCCCATGCCCTTAATCCCAGTGCTTAGGGTAGAGCCTGGCAGATCCCTGAGTTCGAGGCCAGCCTGGTCTACAGAGTGAGTTCCAGGATGGCCAGGGCCTCACAGAGAAACGGTGTTTCAAAAAACCACCACCAACAACAAACCAGACAAACAAACACAAAGAAACAAATGGAGAGATTCTCATGTAGCCCAGGTTAGACAGGATCTCCTGACTTTCTTCCCTCAACCTCCCTAGTGCTGGGATTACTGGCATGCCTGACAACAACCGTTTTTGTGTGATGCTGGGGATTGAACTCAGGACTTCACAAATGTGAGCCAAGCCCTGTACCACCTGAGCCGCAGTCCCAGCCCATTGCGATTCTGAGATAAGGTCTTCCTCACTCCGTAGCTCAGGCTGGCCCAGAACTCAGTCCTGCTGCTCTGTCTGCAGAGTGCTGACATTGCAGATGTGTGTTAATGGTCACATCCTAATGCTGAAGTCTTCCTGAGCCCTGGCAAACCCTTAAAGCTAGACTTTTCCCGATGAGCATGATCACAATCTCAGAAGCCCCCTTGTCAGCTGGGTTTCCCTCTAGCCCTCTGGTGTCTCCTCGAGGCACTATTTCTATTACTCTCTGGGCAGTCCATGCCAGCCCTGGCTTGCTGATGACTTCCAAGTTTCTCTTCCTAGCAGTCAGTTCCCTTTCCTCAGGGTCACGGGGTCCTGAATCTCCTTCCTGTTTTTTCTACATTTGACAAACCCGCATCCTTAGATCTGCCCTCTGCACCCTAGACTGACTAGCATCAGCTTTGGTCTTGGGCTTCCTGTTGGGCTCAGTCAGTGGTGGCAGAAGATGGTGGGTCTCGGAGGTGAAGGGTAGTGTACTAGGTCTCCGCCGCCGTACTCCTCTTGGGCTGGAGACCCCGTATGCATCACCTATGCTACACTCGGCGCAGCTGCGGGCCAGATCGCTGCAGCTTCTGCTCACCTCGCACGCACCACGTCCCAGCCCAGTGGCGCCTCACCTTCGCTGTCCCTAACCTGGTCATTTCAAGGTCTTTCCCCTAAATTCTTCCCCTGCCCCTGTTTCAGTCGCCACCTCTTTCCAGTCTTCTTTTCCTGGTCATCCTGTGCCTTCTCACCGCCCTAATTTGCCATCTTAGTTACCCGTTTCTCATCCCCCAGCCCAACCTCCATCCCTTTCTTCTGCCTCACTCCGTGGTTTCCAGCCTCTGGAGACATGGGAGGCCATGAGGAATGCTTGAAAATATGAATCAGGGGCTGAAGAGTTGGCTTGGAGCCTAAGAGCTCTGGTTGCTCTTATAGAGGGACCAGGTTTCTGTTCCCAGCGTCCGTATTGTACCTCACAACTGCCTGTAAATCCAGTTCCAGGGATTCAAAGCCCCCTTCTGGCCTTGGCAGGCCCTGCATGCACGTAGTGCACAAACATACACTCAAGTACACTACACATAAAAAATATATAAATCAGCTGACATCGGAATTGCTGGCCTGCTCTTTTAAAATCTCTTCTAAAGCAACCTTTTGTTTTTTAAATGCTAAGGCTTCTTAGTGTGATTGCTAACGTCTCTTATAATTGGTCCTCTGCTCCTCACCCAACTCAGGAAGCATGTCTCCTGTCCCTGTGCGTCCTTTGTGACAACCTGAAAAAGCGACTACCTCACAAGTCCACACCCCTTATCCTTGGCTGTGCTCATTCTCTGGAACCCACCCTTGTGCACGTGCACACACATCTCTCCTGTTCCAGTTTCTGAGAAAGTGGCCTGTTTTATTTAGGAAACTCCATCAACCTCAGCATTTTCTGGCTCAGGCAAATTAAGGTCCTCTTCTTTTGTGGTCCCACAACATCCTACTAAGAGAGAAAGTGTGTGGCTGGTGAGCAGGGCGTGGCCAGCAGAAACTCAAGGCTGGTGAAATTCAAGAGGGGGCGTGGCAGTCAGGGTTAGACTCATGATGGGTGGGGCTTGGTACTAGAAGCCTGTGAATGATGGGCAGGGGCATGACTAGTGGATAACGGGCAGGGGCGTGACTAGTGGATAACGGGCAGGGGCGTGACTAGTGGGTGATGGGCAGGGGCGTGACTAGTGGATGCTCTGATAACCCTTGAGCGTGGCTAGTACATGCTGGAGTCCTGCTACCCAGCCATACTCTGAAGCGTAGTCTGTCTCCTATTGCCTAGATGTTGGAGCGGCACCCCAGCTTCTCTTGCACCCCAGTTTCCCATGGGAGGACTGTTCAGGCAGAATTTCAAAGTTTTATGGCAATTTTTACAGAAATCACAGAGAAGGGACAGCGAGTGATTCTGATGAGTCAGGGGTGAGAAGGGCAGTGGGTAATGGGTCTGATGCACAACTGGACGAGAAAATGCAAAAATAATAATAATAATAACTTAGGGGAAGCGGGAGGTTATAAGGTGGCAGGGTCACAAGGAGTGGGCAGTACTCCCCATTCCTCCAGGAATGGGCAGGAAACATCAATAGTAAGAAAATGCAGGTGGCCTACCAACAGATTGCGGCCCACAAAGTTAAAAATGCCCACCCAGATTCCCCCCCCCCCCCCCCTTCCACCCCCCCCCCCCAACAGGCAGAGATGTGGCAGCATTTGCTGGCTTGTAGCATTGGTCCTCTGGGACCCTCGGTCTCCTCTTCGAGGGTCCTGCCCGAGTTGGCTGGCACTGAGGGCAAAATGAACCTTCTAGAGTTATTTTCGTCAAGCCTTCTAGAATATTGTCAGGGGAGGTCGGCTGGACTCCCTTTGGTTCTCAGTCTCCTCCACTACGCAGATTCTCAAGGCTGAGTGAGTCGTGCTGCCCTCTCGAAAAGGGAAAGTCTGTCGACGCCCCTTCCCCCAAGACATGCACCCTCCCATGGCCCCCCTCCCCCAAACACACTAAATATATACACACACACAGGCCCCTCCCTCCAAGGCGTGGCTGGGCTCTCAGAGGTAGTGGAGGGCAAGCAGGGTGCTGGAATGTCTGAAGTGGTGGGTTCAAGATGTGCCTCCTCCGGCTGAGCCTGGGGGACAGAAACTCCAAACGTCCCTCCTCCCTCTCCAAGCCTCTGAGTGAAGAAGTCAGAAAAAGTGCGTGCCCTCCCCCCCTTGTACACACCCACTTATTCATTCCCCTGGGGACTGCAGGGAGCTCCCTGAGGGTTGGGGTAAGGGAAGAGATGGCACAGCCTCCCTCTGAGGTACCTGGGGAGATCTTCTAAGGCCCAGAGGCCCAGATAGAGGGTTGTAGCTGGGAGAAGGAACAGAGTTAAGCTGGGTGTCCAGGGAGGCAGAGAAGGTGGTGTCTGGTGGGTTGGTGCCTGGCTTGGGATTTCAGATGTAATTTACAAGGGATGGGCTGGAGGGGGTGCCGCTGAGAAGGGAGATCGAGGGATGGAATCCAGGCGGAAAGGGAGGCTGATCCCAGGAAGAGGGCTGGCGAAGAAGGAGCCTAGGAGAGGAGTCCCAGGGAGCCCAGGGTGAGTCTGGACAGAGAGACAGGGGTGGGCCCAAGAGCAAATGCCATCGAGTCCCCACCTTCAGGGCAGTGGCTAGGGCCCTAGAAGCCCCGGATGTGGCAGTATGCCTCGAGGCTGGCGAAGAGAATGTAAAGGAACCAGAGACCCAAGAAGAGAGCGGTGGTGGCCAGCTTGGGTCCCCGCGGACCGCCCAGCTCGCCACCGATGTGTGGCCGGCGCCGGTACAACAGCACTGCGATGCCCACGAAGGCGAAGACGGTGAAGAGTGTGACCGAGAAGGCCAGCGTGCCTGTACGCACCTCGAAGGGGCGGCCCTGCACCGCCCAGTACACCGCAGCCACTGACCAGGCCACACCCAGCCCCAGGAACACGTTCACGGCGTTGGAACCAGTCACATTGCCGATGGACGCGTCCGCACACTGGTCCTGCAGCGCGGCCACCTTGCTGGCGAACGTGTCTACAAGGACAAGATACAGGGGTCAAGAGGGGTTTCTTACCGCTCCCCGGGCCCTCACCTACTTCCTGTGGGATCTGTCTGCATGCAGGAGGCTCCACTCCCTAGTTTCATCTTCCTTCTGTGAGGCTGGTATTGCGCTGCCCTAATGGGGTTCACTTTTCAACTTTTGAGGGCCCAGCCCTTTCCCCAACAGACTGGCTGTGTTTGCCCCACATGTGAACTCCCTGCTGATGAAGGAACAAAGTCTCCCCCATCTTGGCCAGAGGTTGCCTTCCTCCCCCAGGTTTGCTGGGGTTGGTTTGATTGTGGCCTCGGCCTTACAACAGGACACAGGACACTGCACAGCCCTGTTTCTGTGGCATGTTCACCCTCACTGGGCAGACTTTACCCACGTCTGAGTTAAAACTCAGAGATTCAGCCAGGATGGTGTGCATACCTGTAGTCCTAGCTCTTGGGAGCTTAAGCAAGAGGAGCACCATGAGTTTGGGGCCAGCCTGGGCTACATAGACAAATCCAGGGCAACTGAGACTATAGATTAAGGACCTATCTCAAAAAATAAAACGACAAAAAAGATGTGGTGGCACATGCCTGCAATCCAAGTTCTCGGAGGTGGAGGCAAGAGGATCAGGGTTTGAGGCCAACTGCTCTACACAGTGATTTTGAGACCAGACCCGGCTATCTGAGACCCACTACAAAAACCACAACAACGAGCTGTCAGAATGGTTCCCAGGGTATAGCATGAGAACACACACTTGGATGGATCCCAGTGCTCATGTAAAAGGCCGGGTGTTGGGCTGGCTAGATGGTTCAGTGGGTAAATGCACTTGCGTCAGGCTTGATGATCTGAGTCTGACCCCTGAAGCTCACACGGTTGAAGAAGAAACGACTTAGGCTGCTCTCAGATCTACATACACCTACCTCTGAGAATCATTGCCCGGTTCTCCCCACCTACCACATGGTCTGTGAAATCATCTGGGGAGGACCTGTCTCTAAGGATCTGTCCCCAACAATGAATTTTGTGTTTTCCAGGAACCCTGAGCCCACCTCCAACCCCCATGGTGGCCTCCCCTTCTTCCTAAGGAACCTATATCTGCTTCCTACCATTTCCTGTCATATTGGTCCCCTGTTACTCTGCCCTGCTTGTTCTGGGGCAGGGTCAGCCCACACACTGCACCCACAGGGCTCCTCCCTGGCCCTCTCATATTTTCCTGAAGGGCCGCTTCCCGGGGTGTTACCAGGGATAGAGGTGCCCAGGGCCACGAAGACCACGGCGTTGACTGAGTCCTTAAGACCCACGGTGCACCCAAAGTGGGAGGCCAGATCTCCTATGAGCGCGGTGAGTAGACCAATAACCAGGATGCAGACACCGAAGCAGGCCCAGCCGTGGCAGTACTCCGTGGGAGGAACGCAAGCGAACAGAACCTTCCAGAACACCGTCAGGAAGTGCATCACATAGTCAAAGCAGGATGGCAGCCGCTCCTCCCGGGACCCATCCTCTTCTTCCTCCTCATCTCCTGTGGGCACATGACCCAGCTCCATTGTATTAGACTTCCAGACAGTTCCGAATGAATTGCTTTCCCAGCATGCCTTGTAACTAAAAGAATGTTGGTCTGAGAGGAATATATTTATTTTCTCAGAATCCCTTGCAGCTAAGAGAGTGTTGAGCCCAGGTAAATGTAATTTCCCAGAGTTCCTAACAGCTGAGAGTATTGGACTGAGGGAAGCTGATTTGCTTTCTCAGATTTCAACTAAAAGAATAAATATTGGGCTTAAGTAAATTCAGTTTCCCCAAATCCCTTGCAGCTGAGAATGTTGAATACAGGTAAATATACTTACTTTCCCAGCATCCCTAGCAGTGTTGGGAACAGGTAAACAGGTAAACACCTTACTTTCCAGAATCCCTTGCAGCTAAGAGAGTTGGATACAGATAAAAAATACTTACTTTCCTGGCATTCATTCAAGGGACTGTTGGGCACAGGTAAGTCCATTTACTTTTCCAGGACTCCTCAAACTAGAGGAGGCCATATATCCCTTGCTAGAAGCACTCAGTGTCTCACAAACCCTGGCTGCTAGAGATGACCATGTCTCGAGCTAAAAATAGTCATTTTCCCCAAAGTCCTCACAGCCATGAGCAGCTAGAAATATTCACTTTTGGGAGGAAGTCACTGCAGTGGTGCGGGGCTTCCGCTCAGAGGTAGAATGCCTGCCTAGCATGTGAGAGGTTCTGAGTTCCATCCCCAGCACCACCAACCAACCAAAGGCCAAGATTCCACAGTCAGCTAAACACACTGGCTTTCCCAGAGTCTCCAGGAGCAAGACAGAGACAAACACCCAGCTAAAATTAGCCAAGTTCCCAGAATCCCTTGAGGTTAGCAACAGCCACATCCTCGGATAAAAATATGCTCTCTCCCAGAATCTCCCACTTCTAGCAATGCTATAAAATACATTCTTTCCCATAATCCCTTGCAACAGCGGGACACCCACCCCCCCATCTCTGGAGACAAAAAGGAGAGGTTCTGAAATGTCCTAACTCCCTTGGTACAGGGGCGCCCTGTACGTGTTTATTTTTTGAGCTTTGTAGAAAGGTCCAACCTATCCCTTACTGTGACCTGATCAGCTTTTAGCACCCAGTGATTTGTGTGATTTGAAAAGCACTGAAGTGTTTGGAACCCTCCTCATCCTGAGCTGATAAGCAGGAGGCGATGAGTGGGAAAAAAAAGAGCAGGCTCTTGTGTGCCAAGTATTATATCTGGAAGGATGCTGATAAGGGAAGTGGCCAGTGGCCAGCAGGCAGTGGGCAGGGCGACGCGGCGAGGCTAGGCCAGCTGCCGAATCCTGAAACCGCCTGCCAGAGCCAACTATAAGTCCCCAGACTTTTCCTCTAAGAAACAGGACACCTGCAATGGTGGGGGCATAGTGTGCTCCCCCCACCCAGCTGGAGGACTCCAGTCACATCCCGTTGTTCTGTCTTTTCTAACTTACTTAACCACAGGCTTGCCAAAGAAAGAAATGCTTGAATTTGTACTTATCCAAGTGGGTTTTGTGGTTTCTTGGTTCTGTAAGAACCAAACTTTTAGCATCAACCACAAGTAACATGGAATTAGAAATAGAAAATTGGAAACTCAGCAGACACCCTGCCCTTTCTGGACTTCCTAATTTCTTGTTGTTCCTGTTAGAACTTGATACCTGGAGGTGCAGCAGCCATTCAGCAACCAGAAGGGCAAAAGCTGAGGATGGGAAGGCAAAAGAGGAGCCAGATCCTGACATGGTGGGGTGTGTGTTTAGTCTCAGCACTTGGGAGACAGAAGCAGGTGGATATCTGTGTGTTCCCGGCCAGCCTGGTCTCCAGGAAGAGTTCCAGGCCAACAAGAACTGCACAATGAGACCGTGTCTCAGTAAACAAGCAAACAAACAAGTAAATGGACGAGTCCATGGGGAGCTTCGGTCGCCTGTGACTGGGTTTTCTGCTGAACTCCTGGTTCCTGAACTGTAATGTACTGAGACAGCTGCGGCCAGTGCAGACAGGCGCAGGCGGGGACTCAAGGCTTCTTCTCTGCCCCAGATGGCACTGTGGCTCACTACTGCTCTCATGTCCAAACCAACCCCTTCCTCATACCCCAAGTTAAATGGCCATCTCCAAACACTCAAAGGCTTCCATTCTTGGCGCTCCGTCTACCCAGGAGGGTCATGCTGTCCTCCCCTCCTTGTACAGCACTGTCCCCAGCCAAGGCTTTAGAACAGTCCCTTTAGGAAGCCTTCCCCTTACCTCAGGCTGGGACAGGACTCTTGGGGTCTCTCCTCCTACCTCTGTCACCCCTGGCTTGTCACCATTTTTTTTGACATGTCTACCTTCTCCACTGTGCTGTGAACCCCATGGGGACGGGGACAGTGCTGTTGGAGCTATTTCTCCATCTCCCTCAGATACATTAAAAGTTGTGGCTTCAGAGGGCTGTGCCAACTGCATGGGCCTCTCTAGGTTGGCCTCATATCTCCACAGTCCGGACTTTGAATTGCACTAAACAGTTTCTTTTTTTCTTTTTTACATTTATTTATTTATTTGTCTGATAGTTGTGTGTGTGTGGTGGGAGCGGGGGATAAAAGGAAAATTTGTAGGAATCAGTTCTCTCCTAACGCATAAATCCTGGGAATCGAACTTAGATTGTCAGACATGGCAGTAATCGCTTTTACTTGCTGAGCCATCTTCTCTGCCCGACATTTTCTTTAACCGTAATTCATTACCTATTAGTCACTCCAGTTGAGGCCACCCCGAAGGAAACCTGATATTATGTATGGGAGGAAGCCCTGAATTGTAGCCCCAGATAGCATTATAAATTCTTTTGGAAACTTTAGGCCACTGTGTCCTTTATCTGAAGTTCAGTTTCCCCATCTGTGTCGCAAAGGACCCCGTGTAAATTTCCAAGATCAGGTCTGTGGATCCAGTCGCCACTGTGCCTCTGACCACACGAGGGCGCTGCGGGTCCGCGGGAGAGCTAAGAAGGGTGAAGACTACAGCAAGTGGGAAAGAACCCGGTGCCCTGGTGACTGTCTCCATGACAACAGAGGAGCCCAGGGCTGTCTGGGGGAGGCCCGGTGCCATTTCACCTATCTTCTAACTTCCTGATGCTACTAGGGTAAAACCCGGACTGGCCCCCTACCTATCTCGAGTGAAACTCAAAGTTGAGCCTTCCAGCTGTGGACTCCCCAGCAGCTGGGACCACTGCACAGTGTTCTCAACTTTCTCCTTTCTGTTTTCATCTGACTCTCCATCTCTGGTCCTCCGTGGTGGGAGGGGATGCTTGCTCTCTGCCTGTCAGCTGATCCCCATCCGTCTTCTCCATCACCTCCCAGCCTGTGTACCTTTGGGTCTTTGTCTCTCCATCACCTCCCTTAGTTCTCACTGCCCCCTTAACTTACCTGCGCTCACCGTAACTGCCTCTAAAAACTGCTCCCTCCATGAATGAGTCCCAATCACCAAGGCCAGGTTTGTTTTCTTTATGAGTTTATCCACTGTGTTCTGAGGGAAAAGAGAGTGAAGGGAGGAACTGCTACCCACGAGTGTCCCCAGGGTGGTGCGATGGGGAGGGGGGGCTCTGGGGCTTGGAACCACACCCACATGCCCAGTCCAGAAAGGGAGTTCTGTGCTGTCCACAGTGCTGAAGCTGGCCCTGGAGACTCCTCAGAGACCGCCCTCCCCCATCGTGGTTCCCAACTTTAAGGTTGGCATGCTCTTCCTTTCTTGAGCTGTACCCCTCCCCAACATAGCTCAGGACAGGATCTAGGGAAGGGAAATCACCTTAAAGTCGTAAGACTCTTCGATGATGACCTCGAGACGACAGTTCTCCCCAAGAACTGGCTTGCCCATCTCTGCTATCCTCCGAGCCTCCTCCTCCTCAGCAGTCAGCTTCCTGTCCCCATCTCCTGCAGCATGAGGGGTGGAGATTAAATATCCAGGAGCCATGCCTAACAGGGTTGGCAAAGACTTTACTATCTGCTCTCTCTGGGACATCAGTGAACTCGTTCAGCTCCCTCTGGCCACCTGTTCCCTCAGCCCATGAAGTTCTAGTAGTGGACTCTGGGTTCACATGGTGGAGGCTGTGTGACCTCAGGCAGTGCCTTGGCCTCTTTGCCCCATATTTTCTACATCTGATGGGTACAGTAATCGTATCTACCTCATAGGATAACTGAGTTAAGCCTGGTCCCAAATGCAGCTCCTGCACCCTGCACTCTGCACCCTGAACCCAACCCTAGGCCTCATTCCCAGTTCCACTCCTGGACAACATCGCTAGCAACAAACGTAGCTCTGTGGTAGAGACAGCTACGCCCAAGTCTGTGGGCAAATAGGTGGACTACATTTCCCAACATTCCTTGCAGCTGGGTATGGCCATGAGATTGAATTAGAGCCAATAGAATGGGGATGGAGAAGTGATGGCATGGTGAGCCTCCAGGACCTCCCCTGTGATCCTGGGGATTTTCTCACCCATTTGCCTGGAGGCAGCAGGGGGTTCAGAGACAACACTAAACAAAGTTCAATGGCAGGTGGAGGCACAGGATTTGAAGACCACATCAGAAAAGAAAACCACCTGCTCGCAAACTTTGCCTAAGCAACAAAGTACTGCAGCAATTGCTACCTATTGTAGCAAACAGGCATCCTTAGGCTAGTTTGTTACAGAAGCTTGTGTGACTTCTCAATGCATCTTAGTCTCAGGCTAACCCTAACTATATGTTAGCTACAGTGTAGATATTGCTTCTAAACTGTCACTATATCCAAGCTACTGGCTCTAACCTCAATTCTGACACCCAGCTTTTAACCTTGGCACCAATTTTGGGGGAGGGGTTGGGACGACAGTTTTGAGACAAGCTGTTATGTGTCCCTGGCTGTCCTGCGATCATAGAGATCTGCCTGCCTCTGCCTCCTTCCCAGTGCTGGGATTAAAGGCTTGGTTTACCAAGTCTGTTGGTTTTGTTTGTTTATTTACTTTGGGTTTTTAGTTTAGTTTAGTTTAGTTTAGTTTAGTTTTAGTTTTGTTTTCATAGCCCAGGCTGAACTCAATCTCCCTACATTGTTGGGGATGGCCTCGAGCTTCTGAGTCTCCTGCCTTCATCTCCCAAGTGCAGGAATTACAGGCCTTCCTCACCCCAGTGCTGGGATGGGACCAAGGGCTTTGTGTATCCTGGGCAAGCACTCCATTGACTGAGTTGTCCTCAGCCTTCCCGACCTCATTTCTAACGCAAAGTCCTCAAATTCCAACTTTAGCTTTAAATTTCTAAAAGTGTGTGTGTGTGTGTATGTGTATGCATATATGTGCGTATATGTGTGTATGTGCGTGTATGTGTATACGTGTGTATGCATATGTGTGTGCATGTGTATGTGTGCGTGTGTATGTGTGTGCGCGTGTATGTGTATGTATGTGCATGCATGTGTATGTGCACGCACATGTGTGCGTGTGTTGTGTATGTGTGTGCGTGTGTGTGCATGTGTGTATGTGTGTATGTGTTCACACATGCTTGTGCACTTGTGTGCCTGCAGCTGTCTAAGGAGACCAGAAGGGGGCGTCAGGTACCCTGGAGCTGGAGTTACAGGTAGTTGGAAGCAACCCAGCATGGGTGCTAGAACTGAACTCGAGTCCTCTGGGAAAATAGCAAGCGTTTTTTTAAGCAGTGGAACCATCTCTTCAGCCCCCAGCCTCAGTTTTAGCATAAACACTTGACTCCAGTTCCAATCTAACCCTATCTCAAACCCTGACAACAACCTCTATTTCAATTCTTGTCTTGACCTAGTGGGAAGACGAATCTCATAATCCAAACTTGTTCCACCCCGTCCCAACTAATGCCAAACCTGATTCATACAGACCGTGCCACAAGCTCAGATCTGATTTCATAACTCAGTTTCTTCCAACTTTGATTATAAATGTCATCCTGAACTCCACAGTCCCCTCCCTCCCCAGGCCCAGCTGGCTCCAATCATCACCCATCCCGAATCCACCTCTCACCTCCAAGCTGCCCCAGCCCACCCCTGTGGCTCCGGTGGCTCCTCCCCTCCGCACCCAGAGGTCCCTTCACTCACCTTGGTTGAGCAGCAGAGCTGGGGAGAGACAGAGACAGGGACACAATGAGAGAGTCGCTTCCCCTCAAAGCTCAGGCTCGCGAGTCCCCCGGGGCCCCCAACCCTGGGCCCCCTGTTTCTCCCATAGCCACCTCTTCACCCCTCACCTGAGATGCCCCTCTTTAGCCACTGGGGCTGGCCGAGCTCGATGAAGAAGTTGTCCTTCTTCTCATACTCTTCATCATCCACTATCTTGACCTGAAGGGTCTTCCTGGGGAAGGCGCAGGCAGAAAGCATAAAGTTCCTCCCACCCCGAAGCCACCTCAGGATGATCTAATGGCCCTTGGTGGAATTTAGGAGGGGCTCTATCAAAAAGTAATCATCCAAGGGCAGAGTCATGACTTTGTCCCCATTTGTTGAAGAGAATCCTATAGCATGTGTGAATGAAGCTGGGCTCTGGGAGAAGCTGGGAAGATGGCTCAGTTGATAAAACACTCATTATGACGGCAGGAGGACCCAGGGGTAATGCCCAGCACCCATGTAAGAAAACCCGGCAGGGTGGCATGTCTGTGAGGATGAACACATGAGATTTGTTACAAAAGCGGTGGATAGTGTTTCTGAGGATGATACTTGAAGCTGTCCTCTGCCCTCCACACATTTGAGCACACTTGACATGTGCATACACACATGTGCACAGGGAAAAAAAAGCTAGATCTGTAATCCCAACCACTTGAGAGTTTGAGACAGGAGAATTACTATGAGATCAAATCCAGTCTGAGCTACAGAAAGAAAATAAGGAAAAAGAAAGGAAGAAAGGAAGGAAGGAAGAAAGGAAGGAAAGGGAAGAACTAGTGAAATCTATCAGTACAAAATATTCACAGCTTCCCGCCCTCCATCCTGACCACATTTGGAAAATCAGCCTAATGTGCCCAGTTTCTCCCCTATCCAGGTTCTCTGTTCCCATGGTTACCAGGGTGAGGCAGGGAATAGCCCAATGTTACCTGTCCCCTTAAGGCACTGAACCCACATACCTCCTACCCCTTCTTGCAATCTCCAAGCCCCACAGCAAGGGATGCTCACAGATTGGGTGCCAGCAACTCTTGGCTAGAGGAACGGTGTATGTAGCCAGCCCCATAAGGCCTGGCCCCAGATCCCAGCCACACAAACACCCCACCCACGCAGTCACCAATAGAGGAAGCTCCACCAGTCACCCGCCCACATGCACAGCCATCCACACAGCCATCCCCCTGCAGCGCATGATCTCAGGGAACAGATGCCTGTTCGTTTGAGAGACACCCCCAGCACAGCCCGAGACAAACACCGTCGCCCCATGGGACCCTCCTAATGCTCCTCTATGGATCTTGCTCTTTTGTTATTTAATTACTTTTTGACTTTGTGAGACACTGTGTCACTGTGTAGCTCAGGCTGACCTGGAACTCATTAGATAACCCACACGGGCTTGAATTCACTAACCGCTTGCCTCTAAAATTCTGGGATGGCAGGCAGGTGACATTATTCCAGGCTTAGACTCCTCTCTTGATGCTCCTTGCTGCCTGCATATATTCCTCTGCATGTCAGTCTCTCTTGTCCACCATCATCTCCCTGCCATCCTCTCTCTCTCTCCTCTCTTGGCCCTTCTCTGACTGTATTCTTTCCTCTTTGTCTTTCTCTCTCAGTGGTGCCCAAATGAAATAAAGTTAACACAATCAGGCAGAAGAGTACTAATCAGGCAATAATTCAATAAACACATCTCCTCAAGTGAACTCACACAGCACACAGAGACACTGTCATGTAGGGACAGACACCCACCTCTACTCTCTGGGTTTGCAAATTACTTATTTGAGATATGGTCTCATGGAGCCCAGCTTGGCCTCAAACTCTATGTGAAGGGTTGGCCAGATGGCTCAGTGGGTAGAGGCACTTGCCTTGAAATCCCGATGGCCTATATTTGATCCATAGAACCCGTGTAAAAGGTTGAAGGAGAAAAGGGACTCCCCAGAGTTGTCCTCTACATGTCCATATGTAGGCTATTGCAAGCACACCTCAACAGACACCATGCATGCACTAACAAATAAATAAAAACTCAAAATTAAGGTACAGCAAAGATTAATTTGAACACCTGATCTTACTTCTCCACCTCCTGAGTGCTGGGATTAGAGATGTGGGCTACCATGCTACTGAGACTGGAGCCCAGAGATGCTACTACTAACTGGGCAACATCCTCATCTGTCTGTTAAACAAGTTTCTTCACTGTAGCCCAGGTTGGCCTGTAGCTCATCACAATCCTCCAGCCTCCAGCTTCACCTGCTGGGATTATAGGCAAGCAACACCAAACCCAGCTGGATTTCAAAATACTGTGCAGAGGCAGCCCTAGCAGCGGGAGCGGGCTGGGCGCTGTCCGCGGTGCTGAAACACCACAACTGGGAGTGGGGGTCGGGTGAGGAGGTCTCCCAAGACACACGGGCTCATCAAACCCATACACAGACTCAGGGACACGCTGACACGGTGGCGCATACTTTGTCGTGCGCTCTCCTAGTACCCCACAAATCACTAGCACACAACTGATGCTTGGTATGTCAAATTTGCTCTAACAGGCAACCCAGGAGAATTCCAACGGGCATCGAGAGAGACTCCTGAAATCTTAGGAAACAGCCTATCTCCCCAACCACTCTCCCTCAGCCCTCATTCCTCTAAGATTCCAGTCTCTCTGCCTTCTCGATACCCCTTGTTTCTCGATGACCCTGGTTCTCTGGGTCTGAGTCTCTTCCTTACTTTGCCCTTTCTCTCTCTGCTTCCTTCTCCTTGTGTCTCCCTGTTAAGTCTCTGACTCTTCCAGTGTCTGTGTTGATCCTACCCAGGCCTCCACACCAGCCTGGTTGCTTCAAAGCTCCTCTAATTAGCGCCTGCCCGTCAGAGGAAGGATGTGTTTCCCTAAACGCTAATTAGCCTCCTGTTCTCTCGTCTCCTGTAGCCACAGCTGGAAGCTTGGGAGGAGGCGGGAGGTGGGGGAGGACAGGGGGTGTCCCAGGCTGGGGAAGCCGTGTGGGGGAGGAAAGGCCCATGGGATTGCAGCAGCAGGAAGGAGGTAGGTTAGACAATCAGAAGGACCAGAACCGACATTCTTTTCTTTCTGCCTCTTGAGTTTGGGGAGATGAGGCTAGGGATGACGGTAGAGTTGGTCACACCAAGCAGTTGTCACATGACCCTCCCCCCAGCTCCAAAGAGAAATGTGGACAGCTGTGCAGGGCCTATGACTAAAGCATAACCCGAGGCAGAGAGCGAGAGACTGACGACGCCAGGATCCCAGAGAGCCATGGCCTGGGAGGTCAGAGGTCCAGGGATGGAGAGCCGTCACCGGCCAGATGAAGGCGAGGCGGAAGCTCCAAGGCTGGAGGGAGCGCGTGGGTGGCAGGAGGAGGGAGCCAGCCGCTGCGGGGGCGGCGGGCGCGGAGCGGTGCTAGCTGCGCCGGGCAGGCGCGGGGGAGGTGAGCTCGGGCCTCCAGGGACTCTGAGGCGGTGCCAGGGCGCAGAGTTTGCAATGCCTTGTCTGTCTGCGCATCTCCTGGGTATACGTTGCGCCCAGGCACCTACCAATATTAAGAATCCCGTGCCCTAGGCCCCCGGAATCCTGTGTCTCTTCCCTGATCTCCCACGGTTTCCCAGGTTTTTCCTGGATTTCTCAAGTCTCACCTCAGACCCGCTCGCACCTAAGGCCACGCCCACCACTCGATCACGCTCTCTCAATTCAGCCAAGCCCCTTTCTCTAGCTTGGCCCCAGTAAGCCACGCCCACACACAAGTATGCCCCTTTCTAAAGATCCTCTTCCCCCGAGGCCCGTCTTTGCTTCCACAGCCCAATTGACTCTCCCTACCAAGGTCCACCCAGATCACGCCCATTCTCAGACTTCTCACCCCCTCCCCCTGTCTCCTACCATCCATAGATCAGCCAGGATCCTTTCTCAGGTTGTTCCCCTCGGTCACATCGAACTTTGTATCTGTATGGCACCTCCCACCGTCAAGACTCTTGTCTCTATCGACCTGAGCTTGGGTTTCACCTCTTGACCCAGTCAGGTTCGCTTTCTCTGCACAGCCCCACGAAATTCTAGGAAACCCCTTACTGTCACTCCGTCTACACTGTCCCGCACTACCTCCCAGTCAAGTCCGTTTCTCAGGCCCTGCCCCACCTTAACCCCTCCTCCAGCCAGGGTCATTTCTCAGACCCCACTCGTGTTGGCGCAGCCCATCTCCAGTAAAAACTACTTCCTACACCCTGCCTACCGTAGTCCTTTAGTACCAAGCCAAGGTTGCCATTCCTCAGCACCCTCCCGGCCTCACCTTGGCACCATCCCATTGCCTGTCAGGGTTGTTCTTTTTTTGTTTGTTTTCGAGACAGGGTTTCTCTGTGTAGCCCTAGCTGATCTGGAACTCACTCTGTAGACCAAGCTGGTCTCGAACTGACAGAGATCCGCCTTCCTCTGCTTTCCTGGGGCTAAAGGCGTGCAACACAACGGCGGCCCGATTTAGAGCAGTTCTTCAGGTCAGGTTTACCCTGGCCCCACCCCACTCTCAGCCAGGGCCCTTCTTCAGGCCCGCCCGCCCCCTCCCTAAGGCTCTGACTCTCTCCCACCCGCGCTCACATGGTCTCGTCATCGCCGAACTCCAGCTCTCCACAAGCGTCCTCGTAGTGCACGCCACCGCCACGAGCCGTGCCATCCACTGTGCGATAGGGGAGGCGCACAGTACCGCGGGCGCCTGAGCTGCGCACTACGCGCACGTCCACGGTGCCCATGCATTCGCTCACGTGCAGCAGGCGGTCCTGGAAGGAGAAGATGCCTGCGTGGTCGTCGTCCAGGATGGTGACGGTGGCCAGCAGCGGCGCCACTAGCCTCCCCTTGGGCCGCCCGCCGCCGTCGGGCTCAAACATGCCCTGCGCATCGCCCACACGCAGGTTCAGCAGCCGCACGAAGAAGTGCTCGTCCTCCTCGAAGATGTCGTCGTCGATGATGCCGATGCGCAGCTCCTTCTGCGTCTCTCCAGGCTTGAATACCAGCGTGCCCTCGCTGCAGAAGAAAACCAGAGGGTGCCACCCCTGTTGTGAGCACGTGTGTGTTCAGTGCCCGCAGAGGCCAGAAGATCCCCTGGGGCTGGAGGTTGTGCACCTCCCTGCATGGGTATTGGCACTCCAATTCGGATCCTGTGGAGGAGCAGCCAGTGCTTTTAACCTCAGAGTCTTTTCCCTAGCCTGGAGGATGGGCCTTAGGGTACTACTCAGCTCTCAGGTCGCCTTAACATCCGCTGAGGTGGGAGTGCGTCGCATAAGAAGAGAGTCCCTCAGCGTCTAGGTTCCGTATTTGTAACTGGCTCTAGCGACTGTGGGTGGTGCTGATACCAAAAGTTGAATAGCGGGGATTTGGGGACTTTGGAATACTCCTTGTTCCTCTGATTACAGTAAACAAATGAACAAGTAAATAGATAGTAAATAATAAAAACAGGACTGGGCAAGATGATTAAGTGGGTAAAGGTGATTGCCACCAAGCTTGATGACCTGAGTTTGATTTCTGGGACTCACATGTGGAAGGAGAACACTAGCTCCACCCATAAATCATCCTCTGACCTCTAGGTATGAGTACACATAGCATGTACACAGATACAAATAAATGTAATTTAGGGGCTGGATCAGTGGTTAAGGGCACTGACTGCTCTTTCAGAGAACCTGAGTTTGATTCCCAGCACACACACGGTGGATCATAACTATATAACTCCAGTACTAGGTAACCTGACGCCCTCTTTTGACTTTTGTGGACACCAAGCATACACGGAGTGTGCGGACATCCATGCAGGCAAAACACTCATACATATAAAATCAAACAAAAATAACTTTAAAAATGTAACCTAAAAATTAAAGAAAAGTAAAACAGACAAGCAAACATAAAACCACAGAAGCTGAGCATGGTGGTGCAGCCACACCCCAGCCCCCGGATATTCTACACAGGTGCTCTATGGGTATGTCACACGCCATGCAGACTGAGAGAGATGTTAACCGATCCTAAGCCCTCCAGATGAGGGCCTCAGTACCACCCTGGATTGGGGCTCTGGGCCTGGAAAGTGGTAGCCACCATCACTATGACCAGCTTTATATAAAGGTTCCCCAGGAGTATCCTGGTCCTGAGGGAGGGACACAGGGCATCCTGTGTCTAGAACATTAGTTCTAGTGTCCTAGAACTAATTGGCAAGATCAGGAACAGAGGGGCAGGGGCTCCCGGTTACTGCCGACACTCCCTTGCATTGACAGACACTGTCCTTGGTGGCTCCCAGCCAACTGGGCTGATCAGCTGTGAACTCAGCTCAACCACAGAGCCAGCTGGGTGACCTCCAACCTCAGTGTCTCCAATGTATAATAGAGCAAATAGCAGCAGGTATCTCATTGTTTGAGGTGGGACGCTGAGTTCATACACAAGCACTCAGTGAAATTTAGCTGGATGAGGTAGTTCACAGCTATAATCTTAGCACTTGGGAGGTGGAGGCAGGAGGATCACCAGTTTGAAGCTTGCCTGGGCTATATAGCCGTGGTGGTCTCAAGGAAAATAAAACAAATTTTCTAGTGATGTCTGCACAATAACATTAGAATCATGGAATTCTGCAAGCTGCGGCTGTGGCTCAGTCAGTTAGAGCACTTGCCTGGCAGTCATGACGCCCCAGGTTCCATCCCCAGGACTGCATGAACCAGGTGCAGTGGTGCATGCCTGTGATCCTGCCACTCAGGAGAGGCAGGAGGATGAGGCGCTCAGGAGCACCCTGGATTATATAGACAGCTCCAGACTGGGCTGAGCAACAGAAAGATTTTTATCTAGAAACAAAGATCTGGAGATTCTAAACAAGATATCTGAAAATCCAACAAAGGGGGTAGTAGGGCATGGGAATAGCTGCATCTTTGTCAAACTGGAGCAACCAGCAATGAAGGAGCAGACATTGTGTGCCTGTAAAGTGCACCAAGTTGCAGTTCTCCTTCTCTGACCTCCAGAGGAAGGCAGGAAGTGCACACAACTCCATCTCGTTTGGAGGAATTATGAGGCAAACTCAAATTGCAGATGGGCCAGACGGTGGTGGCGCATGTCTTTAACCCCAGCACTCAGGAGGTAGAGGCAGGAGGATCTCTGTGAGTTCGAGGCCAGCCTGATCTAGAGAGTGAGTTCCAGGACAGGCTCTAAAGCTACACGGAGAAACCCTGTCGTGAGAAACCAAACTAACCAAACAAACAAAAATTTCATATGGTTCTAGGACCTGGCCTAGCTTCAACTGCCATAGGGGGTGGGCAGGAGGAGGAAGCTCAGTGGCAAACACGCTTCCTACACAAGCATGAGGACACCCCATAAATGCCAAGCATGCATGGTGGCCAGCATGGAATTCCATCCTCAGAAGGTGGAAGCAGAATCCCTGCAGCAGGCTGGTGAGAGAAACTGAGTTTGATGAGAGCTTGCCTCATGAATGAGGTGGAGGAGGAGTCAAGGATGACTCCTGACACCACATGCACCCTACACAGACACACCGAAACACATTCAAACATTCATATATGCACATATGCATACACCACTCACTCATACACATGCAAATGGGAGAAGAGAAATGGGGACACAAGAGTCACGGGAAGTCTGGGAAAATGCCGCACCGTTGAGGTGCGGCAATGAAGTGCCGGTGTACTTCTGGATTCATGGGAGGAGAGGGAAGAGGGCATTTTATTTTATTTTAGTAAAATAAAATAAAACAAAACAAAACAGCAAGCTGGGAGGTGGTAGTGCATGCCTTTAATCCCAGCACTCAGGAGGCAGAGTCAGAGTCAGGCAGATCTCTGAGTTTGAGGCCAGTCTGGTCTACAGAGCTATTTCTAGGACAGCCAGGACTACACAGAGAAGCCCTGTTTTAACAAACAAATAAACAAAATAAAAACAAAAACAAACCCAACCTAGTTTGGAAATAAGAGGTATAGATAACTTGTAAATGTTGAAGGGAAAATCTCAAAAGCAACTTTGTCTTCTCCAGAACAGTGTCTGGTACATTTAGGGAGCAGGAAAATTGTGATTTGACCAACACATGTCCTCCAGGTGGCCAAGAACTTGATAAAGTTGTGGGCGCTACAAAGGTGTGCCTACATGCCAAGAACTACAGGTAACTGGAGCGAGGTGGGAAGCAGTATGATGTGGCTCTATCAACATGTCACCAATAATGGCATATGTGATAGGTATTCTGTAAATGTATTTAAGCAGCAGGGAGTCATTTCCTCCCATACTAGAGTTTGGGTATGGCTCAGCGGTAGAGCCCCTGCCTAGAATCTCCCAGTGAGGGCCTGGGGGCGTGACTCAGCAGTAGAGCCCCTGCCTAGAATCCCCTAGTGAGGGCCTGGAGTGTGGCTTAGCAACAGAACCCCTGCCTAGAATCTCCCAGTGAGGGGCTGTGTGACTCAGTGATAGAGCCCCTGCCTAGAATCCCCCAGTGCTAGGCTGGGGGCATGGCTCAGTAGAGTGAAGGAATGAATGATGACTGGATCATAAATGAATGAATGATGAGTGAATACATTCATACACGGATGCTTGGATCTGTATATAGTAGGGAAAGGAAGCACTACAGGCATTTCTGAAGCTCAGCCCAAGGAGGCACCATATCTCCTGGAACCTTCTCATGTGACTTGCTCAGGACCCACCTATATACCTGGACTCACCTGGCCCTGGGACACACCTGTTGGGACCTACATGGGCCCAGGACACAACTGCATTCAGGATCCACCTAGGCCTGAGAGCCATCTGGACCAGGACTCACTTTTACCTGGGTCCCACTTGTAGTTAGTCCCCTTGTGGACCTGAGACTCCTGTGTACTGGGACTCACCTGTACTCATAGTCTGACCCCGCCTTGGCAGAGCCGTCCTCTGTGCGGTAGTCCACATAGAAGGTACTGTTGCCCTCACCGCCCTGGCAGGCCACTGACAGCAGCACAGACCCGCAGTTCTCCAGGCAGTGGTAGAGGCTGGGCTCAAAGAAGATGCGACTGGCGCCATCATCCTCGTCGTCGGCTGCGCCATCGTTGGCCCCGGGCCGGCGGGCTGCATCTGCAGCGTGTCTTCGAAGTACGTTGCCTGCGCCCGTCATCAGCCGTGTGGCTTGGATGCGGTAGAAGGCGCGGCTCTTCTGCTGGTGCAGCAGTGCGTAGTACTTGGCGATGCCTACCAGCTGCTCCAGGTCCTTGTCTGGGTGCTTCTGCTTCAGGTCCTTAAGAATCTGGATGACCTCGCGCCTGCTGGCGTCCAACTCACGTGCCTCGACAGGACCTGTGCCCAGCACACCCAGCTCACCTGGGACCTCGGTGCCCACGAACGTACCGTCCAGCTCGATGCTCTTGGGTGGGTCGCCCTCTGCCCCGATGATGATTCCACTGCGAGGGTCAGTGCGGTAGCGCTTGTACACGTACTTGTAGAAGAGCAGTCGCTTGTCAGCCATCCAGGCGAACACCACGCACACCGGGAAGAAGACCAGTGTCAGCAGAGCCTCCCACACCTGCGGGTGGCAGGCAGTGAGCACTCTACACACTGTCTCTCTCTCTCCTGTTCATCTCTGTTCACTTCTGTTTTTCCTATGCTCACGTTTCTCCACACATATACCCATCTATTACATCCATCCATGTGTCTACCCACCTATTCATTCATCCATCCATCTATCCATATCCACCCACCTACACATACACCCATCTATTCTATGCATCCAACCATCCCATCCATATATGTATATAGTCATCCATCCATACATACATCCTCCATTTATCTGTCCATGTGTCCACACACCTATCCACCATTCCCGTCTGTCCGTCCATCCGTCCGTCCATCCATCCATCCATCCATCCATCCATCCATCCATGTGTGCATGAATCCACCCATACATCCACCCACCTATCCATCCTTCCCACCTATCCATCCCTCCCACCCACCCACCCATCCATCTCTCCCACCTACCCATCCATCCATCCTTCATTTAGCCACCCACCCATCCTCCAACTCATCCATCTTCCTTCTACCCAAACATCCACCACTCACACACCCATCTACCTACAAAACCTTCCTTCATTCACACATCCATTCCTCTACCAACTCAAACATTCACACACCATCCATTTCCCCACTCCTCACCAAGCACACATCCGTCCCTATTGTTGATTCCTCCTCCCTTCCTTTACTTTCTCCCCTTTCCCCACATTATACCATCTTCAACCTGCTTAACTCTCCATCTCTGCCTCTCTGGCTGCCTCTCCTCCAGCTGGTGTTTCTAATCTTCCCTTCCTCCCTTTCATTTGAGCTTGTTACCTAGGTCCCCTTGTCTCTGTGTCTTTTTTTAAATCTTTTTTTTTCTTTGTAGACACCCTTGAAGAGTCTTTAAAGTTTTCCTCCTTTGTCCTCGCAGGAAGCGTGCCTCTCCAAATGGCACTGTGTGTGTGCATGCTCTTTGCCCGGCTCACTCTGGGTCTTCTTATCCATCTACCTGCTGAGTGCTACACCTTGCTGTGTGCGCTAGACTCTGAGACATTCTTAGCCACCACCAGGTGACAGATGTTCCAACTTGTGGTCCCAGATTCTCAGGGTCAGAGCCTGCATCTCTTCCTCCCTCTCCCTTCCATTTCTCTCCTTCTCATCTTGAAGGCCTGCTTTCCAGTCACCACTATCCCTCCATCTCCCCATACCCACTGGGGACCACAGCCTAGCTGGACTCTCCATCCTCAGAGCGTGAGTGGCTCTGAAGGGCAAGGCTGACTCTCAGGGCTCATGCCCCAAAGCTCCAGATCTGTAGCCCTCATTTACTTTCCATTCCTGAGAAGCTGCACCATGCATGGCAAGTGAGAAACAGCTCTGAAGAATCCAACAGCCATGGGGGCAGAAAATGAGGGCCACCTCTAAGCTGGAGCTGACATATGTGCCCCCAACACTCAGCATCGTCAGCCCCTGGCACATGAGGAACGCTCAAGACGTAAAATGATCTGGTCACAGTGGCACAATTTGGTGATTGTAGCAACATGGGAGGCTGAGGCAGGAAGACAGCGAGTTCTAGGCTAGCCTGGGAAACGTGTGAAATCTTTTTCAAGCCTGACACCCGGAGGTCGATTCCCTGGACCCATACAGCAGAAAGAGAGAACCAATTCTTTCAAGTTGTCCTCTGCCTACTACCTTGGCATCTATTTATCTCCTACAAATAAACACCGGGTTTAGCCACTGGGAGGCAGAGGCAGGCAGATCTCTGTGAGTTCGAGCCCAGCCTAGTCTACAAGAGCTAGTTGCTGAGAATTGAACTCAGGACCTCTGGAAGAGTAGCCAGTGTTAACCCCTGAAACATCTCTCCAGCCCCTCAAAAATATTTTTATTTTTAAGTTTTAAGAAAGAGATGGGCAGAGCAGGAAAGATGACTCAGTGGCTGTTCTTTCAGAAGACCCAGGTTCAGCTCTCAGCACCCCAGGGAGCTTTGCAACCATCCATAGCTCCACTTCTAGGGAGTTAGCTCAGGGATCTTTATTGACCAATGAAAATAACACAATAGACAGATAACCCTCCTCCATCAAAAATAAATAAATAAAATGGCTTTGTGGTAGAGTGTTTGCCTAGAATCACTGAAGGACTGAGGACGTGGCTCAGTAACAGGGCACCTGCCTAGTATATGTAAGGCCATAGGCTCAATTTCTGGTGAAAAGAAGAAAAGAGAAGAAGCAATAGAAGTATTTTCTGTTCACTACCATCACTAGTCCAATGATCTTGGGCTGACTGAGGGTATAGGCTCAGCCTGTCTGTCCCCTGGACACACACACACACACACACAGAGGCAGTAACCAGCTAAGTGTGAAGATCTCTCTCCTCTCTCTCTCTCTCTCTCTCTCTCTCTCTCTCTCTCTCTCTCTCTGTGTGTGTGTGTGTGTGTGTGTGTGTGTGTATTTCTAGACAGGGTTTCTGTGTAGCCCTGGCTGTCCTAGAACTTGCTCTGTAGATCAGGCTGGCCTCAAACTCACAGAGATCTACCTGCCTCTGCCTCCCGAGTGCTGGGATTAAAGATGTGTGCTATCACTGCCCAGCTTCGTCCTAGTTTTTGAAAGTTTATTTTTAATTGAGAGAGAGAGAGAGAGAGTATGTCTGTGCAGTTGCCGAAGGAGACCAGAAAATGGTATCACATCCCCTGGAACTGGATTTACAGGCAGTTGTGAGTCACAGACTTGGGCGCTGGGAACCCAAGCTGGGTCCTCTAAAAGAGCAGCCAGCACTCTCACTGCTAAGCCAGCTCTCTGACCCCGAAGGCTTTCACATAAATACCTGTATGCTGTCTTTCTCATTAAAGGTAGAGAGGAAAAGATTGGAGAGTATTTCAGATCAGGTGGCCTCCCAAGTTACTTACAAATGTGTCTGAGAGAGAAAGAGGGCTTTAAGAAAAAAAAAAAAAACAAAACACAAAGTAATTTATCTATTGTTGTGAAGTGGGGGAGGGGTGAAGGTCGGGGACAACGTTCAGGAGTTGCTCAGGCTATCACGCTACGACACAAGTGCCTTTATCCACCAAACCATCTTGCCGGTCCTGGAATAGGATCTTTTAGGACCCCGTCGTCTCCCCACCCCATAGCTGCTGTGTCTCCTGAAGGCTCTGAGACCTCACAGCTCTTCTGGGGCACAGGTTAGGCAGAACACTCACGCCACGCATGCCATCCCACTCCCCTGTCTGTGTTCACCAAAGTTGGAGTTTTTCCATTAATCAGCAGAAAACCTCAGCCTCTCCCACTTCACGTCCCTCCCTGAGTGTAAATAAAAGGTTCTTCTGGAAGGTTCTCACCTGTTAGAGGTGCCACTGTGAACAGGTGTGACGAGGTGGCCACCTCGGGACTAAGGCCCTATCTAGTTAACCCCTAGGAGAAGGGGTGCCCTTGAGAGGGCGTATGAGAAACCCCAGGGTGTCATCAGTTGGGGAGGAGGGTGTCATCCCCAATTTGGTGGTTTCAAGAAAGCCTAGGGACAGT